ACACTAATGCAACTAAACAATAAATTAATGCATAGACTAGTTGCATGGAAAATGATGCGCATAACATTGCCCCCATCGAATATAGACACGACCTAATGCATAACCCCCAATAAATTCCCGACTGACTGTCGAATAAACTCCAACTAAAATTTTTCTAAAGCCCTAGACTGAGCTAATATTTTTTTAAAAAAAAAAATCCGATCCGAATGAACGACCAAGATTTTTCCCGCAAACCAAAGAGGCAAAACTCCAAATTTTCCCAAAACAATTCCAGGAGCAAAAAGGCATATGCAGATGAAAAAGGGGTTCAGAGGGCTCTTAGGGTTTCCAGTTGGCTTGTCCTACGGTCAAGGTCGGCTCTGATACCAACTTGTCACGCCCAGAAATTCTCAAACCAGAATTTCTAAGCTGAATGTGCATTAAATCCCTGTCCAGGACCAGCCAGGGTACACAAACGATAATTGTTGACATCCAGATCCACGTCTTACAAAAATAGAAAAGATTACAAATGCAGCGGAAAAGATAAAAGCGAGCTAAACCGGGAAGCTTGACTTCAGCAGCGAGCGGCTCCACTCCACAGGCAATCCTTGACGGCAGCGACGAAACCAACTTTGACAAAACAGCTCCAACTAGGAAGATCTTCAGCTCTGGTGTGGGGGAAAAGAGAGCAAGACTGAGTACTACCCACTGTACTCAGCAAGTCATACCGGAAGAGGAGGTATGATGCAGGATATAACCAAAGGAAGCTAGGGGTTCTTTTGCATAAAGCTAGCATTTAAAAACAGTAGTTGAAAGCAGTAAAACAGCTGTAGTAATTAATCAATATTAACCAAACACTGTCCAACGCTACACCACGTTGCAACAGGCCCAACCAACCACCTGAACTACACCAGTTCATTAAGCTAAACTAGGGGTGAGACTAATCACGGTGAATCTGGTTGATCGCCCATAACCGCGGGCACGGCTATTCGAATAGTTTTACTCTGGCCAGAGGTGTACAACTGTACCCACAAGACACGATTCCACACATGTCGCCATGCCCCGAAGTATCACCATGATACTGCAAAGGGGGAAATCGTGACAAGACCCTCCACATAACCCTCCCCTAACTATCCACACCACGCTAAGGTTTCACCCCCACCCCTCAAAAGGCAGTGGGCGGTCCCCTCTTGCGCCGCGGTGAATCCGGCAGCTGGACAACCGGACACCCCGGCCGACCCAACTCCATCACGCCCACCCTCGCCACCGGTGCCTAGGAAAGGGTCGAGCTATACTTCAGATCAAGCAGTTACCCACTCCCGCTTGTGGTAAGCACGGTAAGTCTCCCAGGGTTTCCCGTGAACCGGTCCTTAATTGCCATGGGTGCGACCAGCAAAACCATGCACCCACAGCCCACCATTCAATGTATTTTAATTAACTAACACCATTGCGGTGGCACCAATCTAAAGCTATGCCAATAGACAAAGTCTATGTAAAAATGTGATCCCCATTAGTGTACTAGTTGAACTAAGCATGGCTAAGCATTTCCTAAACCAACATCTAATCATTTTGATACCCAGGTTATCAATGGCATATGGTAAACAATAAATGGTTGAGTAATAGGACCCATCCCTCATTACATTGTAAAAGAATGCAACATTTAATAGAAATGCGGGATATTGGTAAATTGGGTACAATATGATCAAAAGTATTGCATGACTTTCCTTGCTCTCGCACTGATGAGACCTCAGCAAAGTCTTCGAGAAACCGCGGATCGACGAAACGGCCGAAACCTACGCGACAAACAAAGCACACAAGCAAAACATGCTATAAGACTACAGAAACAGGAAACAAAACCATTTTTAATGGATTCTTTGCATTTTTCTTGATTTACTGAGACTTGAATGGACTTAAACGGAGCTCGGATGAATTACTTATGAATTTTAGAAGATAAACTGTGTTTTTACTAATAAAGAAAAGTCCTTAAATCAATTTATTGCGCAATAAAGCCCAGGGCTGACGTCAGCGAAGGGGGGGGGCGGCGCCGACAGGCGGGGCCCACGGGTCAGCGGTTCAAGAGAGGGGAGAGAGAGGCGCCGGCAAGCGGGCCCACTGGGCAGCGGCTCAAAGGGGAGGGGTGGTCCACCGGCTGGTGGGCCCCACCGGGCAGCGGCACAGGGCGGGAGAGGGGCGTGGCTGCTGGCTTGGCACGGCTCAAGCCGGCCGGCCATGGCGAGGCGACGACGGCGCACGACCGCCGGCGGTGCGGGGAGACGGCGGCGGACGGCGCGAAAGGCGGCGGCGGACGGCCGGAGCGGCGGCACGGCCAAAGGCGGCGGCGCACGCGTGAAGGGGAGAAAAGGGAGGGGGAGGGAGGCATCGGCCGGGCTCAGCTCGGCCTCAAGGCCGACCGGGGCGAGGCGGCGGCGAGGCACGACCACCGACGGCGGGGACCGGCGGCGCGGGAAGCGGCGGCGACGGGCAAAAGGTGGCGGCGCATGGCCGAAGCGCGGCGATGCACGTGCGGAGGGCGGCGGCAAGCGGTGGCGCTAGCGGCGAGCGGCGCGGGCTCGTTAGGAGACACGGGAGGGGACGGCAAATGGGGAAAACGAGAGAGGGAGCTCGGGAGAGTGATTTAATGGGCGAGGGAGGGGAGGACGTGGCCGGGAACCCTCCCGATTTAGCCGGCGACGTGGGGAGGAGAGAGAGAAAGAGGGGTGGGATTCGAAATCGAATCCCGCCCTCTCGAGCGCGCGCGCGGGCCGGGAGATGCGGGGGAAGAGGCGGCGACGTGGGGAGGACGCGGGAGCGGCGCGGCGTGGGCGCGGGAAGAGCGGAGGAGGCGGCGGCGTGGCGGATTCGGCGGCGGTTGCCGTCGGAGGCGGGTGGCTGGAGGAAGGGGACGACCTGACAGGTGGGCCCCACCTGTCAGCGTTCCGGAGAGAGGGGGAAAGGGAACGGGCCGGCCCACAAGGGGAGGCCGAGCGCGGGCGACGGGTGGACTGGGCCGACGGCCCAAGAAGAGGAAAAAGGAAAAAGAAAAAGAAGAAAGGATTTTCCTGGGATTAAAATTGCACTTTGGTGATTTTTAATTGGTTAAAATTATTTCCAAGGCTCTGAAAATTCCACTAAAAATCTTGTTAATGCATTGGAGCATGGGGAACTCAAGAAAAATTCCACCATGCCAATTCCAATTATTAATTGCATTTATTAGTTAGGGAATTAGCTCTAGGTTAATTAAGATAATTTCTTCGGGCAATTTATTTAACAAATTTTTAAAGCAAGGAGAGGGGGAAACTTCAGGGCGTGACACTTCGCTAGACCGTAATTCCGCTGCAATTTTCTTTTCTTTTGTAAGTATGTAACGTTATTATATTGATGAATCTGTATATTAAATTGTCAGTTTGTGTACCTCGGCTGATTCCTGGACGAGGATTTAATGCACAAATTAGTTCGGAAATTACTAGTGAATTTTCGGGCGTGACAGGACCCGTCCCCCACAACCGAAGATGAGGGGTCGGCCGGCAGAGTTCCCGGTGGCAAGGGCAAGACCGGCGGCCATGGTGGTGGAGATGGAGCACGCCCAGAGCCCCTGAAACCCGGACTAGACCGAGGCGACGAAGGAGACATGCCGATTGCTAGAGGGCGTCCACCCGTCTTCAAGGCGCCGTCAGCCAATGAGGCAGAGAGGGAGAGAGTTGATGTTGTCTCCATCATGGGCACCGCGCCATTGTCGTTGGCTGGTGGGTATGGAGAAGCCTGAGGCGTTGGGGGAGCCGCACCATTGTCGTTGGCTGGCGGTAAAAGGAAAGCCAGAGCACGTCGGGGAGGAGAGAGACTCCGGAGGCACGAAGCCAGTGATGGAGCCGATGATGTCGGTTGAGGAAAAGCCGGTGGCCTGTCGCCCGTCGGAGACGCTGCACCAGGTACTGAGATGGTGGCCAGCGGTCCGCCCGTCACAGAAGCCACACTATGACGACGGAGAACAGTAGCCTGACGGCGTCATCGGAAAGGAGAGCTAGGGTCGACGCACGACGACGACCAGAGTGGCTGGCAGAGCGTCGATGGCACCATACACCAGAGGAATCGGAGGTCCGTTGCTCCTCGCTAGCGTCACACCGTAGGCCGTCGGAGGAGCACGCATCGTTTGCCGCGGTAGGGGTGTGCATTGGAGAGGAGAGAGCTGCCGGCGCCACGCTGTCCCGGTGAGCCATCGTCATGTCCCCTGCAGCCCTTGGTCCACCGCCATTGGGCCTGCACGAGGCGCCCCAGGCGAGACCGCGCACAGCCGAGGTAGACTGTTCCTTTGCGATAGCCCAATATGCGAGGGTGGCCCAAGTACAGGGGCGGCCCAACAGGTGGCCCGAGGAGTGAAGATGGCCCAGAGAGCAGAGCCAACCCAAGGAGAGAGAACGGCCCATCAGATGGAGATGGCCGAGAAGAGCCAGCGGCTCAGCAGGTGGAGGCGGCCCAAGGAGAGGTGGAGGCTGAGGGAGTGGGGAAGCTGCTTCTCGAAGCCCGGTCTCGACTCACATGGGATCCGGTGTGGCACTAGACACAATGGTCGGTGCCACATGTCGGCTCGCCATTGCCTCCTCATGGGGAAGACCCTGGTCAAAAGAAGGAAATGGAAAAACCTCCCATTTTTAGCACCAGGCAAGCCGCCGGCGAGGGCGAATCTAGAGCACAGAGAAGCCGAGTGCACACTTAATTTACACAAGGCACTCAGGGGTTGTAGCTGTTGGGCATTTGGGCAGTTCGGGCTGCACGTAAGCAATTTGGCCTTCATGAGCTGCCTGCAGCCTGCAGGCTGCTGGGTAGCTGAAGTTGGTACGAGTATTTTTTTTCTAGAGTGCACAGAAGGTGGTGAAAATTACTACCTTCGTTTCAGGTTATAAGACTTTCTAGCATTGTCCATATTTATTGTTTCAGGTTATAAGACTTTCTAGCATTGTCCATATTGTCCATATTTATTTATATAGATGTTAATAAATCTAGACACATAATACAATACTAGAAAGTTTAGGAAGTAGGTGCCTGCTAATATGATTCATCAGTGATCAGTGCATAAAAACCTATAATGTTTGTCAAATTATATACACACAATAGCGACCTCGACAAACTAATATTTAGTAGTATATATAGTATAACAAATGATGTCCTCCATACATGCCAACAACTAGGAGGAGGACACCAAAGCATGCATATATACTCAAAACACATCAAAATACAAGTAATGAAACACAGCCACACTGTACAAAGCCAAACAGACAAAGCTCATCGTTCGATCCGATCATCACTTGCCGTCTCCGGGGACGGCGGCGGCCGTGTCAGCGGCGGCGCCGCCACGTTGCTGGGAGGAGACGGCCTGGACGAGGTGGTGCACGGCCTTGTCATAGCTAACGAACCCCATGAACCAGAAGTCATGCGAGTCCACCGTCACGACGTGCACGTACTTCTCCGGCGGGCTCTCCTTCATCGTCACCGGCTCGGCGGCGGCGACCTTGGCCACCGGGATCATCACCTTGTAGTAGCTCCACGCCGTCTGCCCCGAGGGCGCCGCGAAGGAGAGCGGCCGGTCGCTGCAGAACGCGACGCTCCGGTCGGTCAGGTACAGCGTGCCGGCGACGGGGCCCGTCGCCGTCGAGAGGTAGCAGGCGAACGTCTTCCTCAGCCGCTCGTCGGCGCCGGCGCCGGCGAACGTCTGCTTGTAGAGCTTGTCGAAGCCGCCCTCGCTGAGGGCCTTCGCTCCCAGGCTCAGCTTCCCCATCGCCGCGTCCGACATCGACGGCGCCGTCTTCACTGCAAAGAGGAGCGAAGGAAGAAGAAGGTGACACGTCAGCAACCTGTTCGTGACACGTGTCGCTGGTCAAAGGACACGTGGCACACGTGATCTGAAGCAGAGAAGGTAACTCTGCTCCGGCAACTAGAAGCATCAGAGTTTGCATCTAATTTTGCATTTCTGTTGAGTACCAGTAATTACTCCCTCCGTTCATAAAAGATGAAAGATATATTTATTTCAATTTTTTTTATCACCAAGAAAAAAATTAACCTCATCCCCAGTCTAACAAAATAGAAAAAAATCTATATGCATACAAGAATTAAAATAACAGCTTAGTTTAGATTAAGAAATAATTTAACACAAAGACTACACAACTATAATTATCTCTTTTAGAAAAACTAAAAATTGAAACATTCTTAACACTTTTGGACTTTGGACAGATGGTGTGGTTCTATACAGTTACTAATCCTAGTTGATATCTTTCAATAAAAATACATCAATATTCAAACTTGTTTCCTGAATCAGACTCAAAAATCCAAACTCTTGATCCAAAATTAAAAGCTTGTTACTGCCACGTGTGGGCGTGGCTGGTCAAATCACACGTGAGCAGAAGCTTTGGCGCAAGAAGCAGAGTAAAAGTGGTAATCCTAATCAATTTCTCCTCAAATAAAAGAACACCAAAATTAAAACTGTCTTTTGTAAATCAGACTCAAAACGGGAAACATTTTAAGCAAAGATTTGAGAGTTTTGGATCACTTACGGTTGAACCAGATGTTGGAGGCGAGCTCCTCGGCCTTGCGGCTCCAGGTGTTGAAGAAGTCGAGGATGTGCTCCATCGGGCTGTCCCCTCTCTCCGGCCGCCCCCGCGGCGGCGCCGCCGCCGCCTCGCCCATGATGACGTAGGGCGGGAGCTCCTGGTCGCCCCTCGCCGCCGTCCACCGCGCCGCCTGCTGGTTCTCCGGGTGCGCCCCGGGCGCCGCCGGCGGGCCCATCTGCCTCGTCCCCCACTTCGCCGCCTCCGGCTGCTGCTGCTGCTGCTGCGGCGGCGGCGGCGGCGCGTTCCCCGTCGTCTGAGGCTCTGCCGCCGGCGCCGGAGCCGGAGCCGGAGCCGGGGCAGGGGCGGGGGTGGTGGTGGAGTCCTTGCCGTCCATGGCTGGGTGAGTAGCTGTAGCTACGAGAGATCGATGAGGAAGAAGGGACCGAGAGAGAGATGGATGATGCTGGAATTGTTTGGAAATTGGAAAGAGCAGAGATGAATTGGATGAGCGGTGTGATGGGTTTTTATAGCGTGGGCCGTGCTGTCGGTTTGGATGATTGGGATGTGGATTTTCAGTATGTTCCTTATTGCTTGCATTTTTATCTAAATATTTATAAAAAAATTAATTTTTAATAAAGATAGATTAATATAAAATATGTCACTACATAAACGTATAGTCAAAATTAATTTCTACAAGTTGAAAAAAATAAAATTGGAAATAATTATCGGATATTTGTAGTTATATTTTTTTTACAACTTGTAAAAGTTGAATTTGTGTTAGCATATTTGTGTAATGATATATTTTATATTAATTTATCTTGTGGCTTTTTAATATTTTATCTATAACTATTAACATATACAAAACGAGAGGACATATAATCGAGGGATGAAATCACTTTTCCGGATGATTGGCTTATTTGTGGAGAGGCCTCCTGTTTACCTCTGTACAGAATCCGTTGTCTAAATTTAAATTTTGAAATTTAGTTGTACAACTGATTTTAAAGTATTTTTTATCAAAATTTATTTTTTATAAAGATGTGTAAATCGCTAAGAAAACATATATCAAACTTTTATCAATAAAATATTGTTTTCATGACATATTAACAGTATTTGGCTATAGGGGACGGAGCCAATTGCTGCGGCTATCAAGTTTAATCTGGTAATTACTTAATTCTTTTACCATTTTAATAAATTTAAAATTAAAATTTTACAATTTCAACTATAATAACTTTAAAAGTATTTAGTTTAATGATCCTAGAATAATATTTATTAGACATGTTCGTAACGTGCAATAATAAAAAACTATTTATTTATTCTATATTATAATTGAAAAAACATAGTCAGAGACTCCCAGTGTGTACTTATGTTGGGACTATAAATTTTGGAGGCCAAGTAATTATTATCTAAAACATTAGTATGAAACCGGAGACTACTGTATTAAACACGAAGGCCCGAACGAAGGGCCCGTTTAGTAAAATTTTATCCCAAATTACATTGGATATACGGATACATATTTAAAGTATTAAATATAGTTTAATAATGAAAATAAATTATAGATTCCGCCAGAAAACTGCAAGACAAATTTATTAAGCATAATTAATCCATTAATAGTAAATATTTACTGTATCACCACATTAGTAAATATTCGTCTAGTAATTTCCTGATGAACTATGTAATTGATTTTTTTTACATTAAATATTTTATGTATGTGGTAGCGTGAAAAGTTTTGTTTGGAACTAAAAAGGCCCTAAATTGGCAAACTTTAAACTAGTAGCACAGAAAGTGAAATAAGGAAATGATTAATTGGAGAGAGTAGTCTGAGTCAAATTGATTTTCTTCGCGAGCAAGAACCTTCGAGGCGCGGCATCCAACTAATCCACGAGGATGCAGCGGGCCTACGTGGACACCCGGAAGCTTAGCCCAGGCGACAACGTGTCCTCCATCCCCCTTCTTTTCTTTTTCCTTCCGATTTTATTCCTTCTGTGAAGACGCCGTCGTCAGATTAGCGTTGCTCCTCTCTCTCTCTCTCCAATGTGAACAACTTTTTCTTCTGGAGGCGTCACGCGGTGGCGGTTCGGCCGGCTTCCACGTGTCACGCCGCAGGAAAAAGAGAAAGAATCGACCATCACCTATTCCTAGGGGTGGGCATATAAACCGAGTACCGAACCTGAAAAAACCGAAACCGTACATTGAAGACTGAACACTCGGTCATCGTCGTTTGTTTAAGCATAGAAAACAAATGGTTAATTGGTTAATTTGATCCATACCATTGAAAATATGGCTATTCAGAAAAATATCATTTTAATTCGCCTATATATAGCCGTGTCACTTATATTTTACAAAATTAGGACCATTCCATTGCCAGTGGGTTTTCCGTCTTCTCCCTCACCTCTACGTGGGACCCACGTATCATTTTCGTCTTCTTCCTCCATCCTCCTCTCTTTTTCTTCTACCACTTCTTCGTTTCTTCTTTCTGTGAACACAAGTAGAGCACAAGGAGGAAAGGAGCAGGGCGTCAGTCCTCCCAGCAACCACAGAGCACTGGAATCTTTGGCTCTTTGCAGTGTAGCAACGCACCCTCCCTGACGAGCTTCGGACTGACCGCGGATTAATGCTCAAGCGCTGCGGCAAGCTGCTGAGCAGCATCCAGGCGTTCACGGCCGGCGACGACTAGTACCCAAGCCTGGTGTCCATGGTCGACGCGGCGACGTTCCTCGCTGACGAGCTCTGAGCTGAGATGAGGCGCGCGCACAAACGTGGAGGTAGATCGAGTGGCTGGTGTTCAAGGACCTCGTCGTCGTGCAGATCTCTTTCTCATCGTCGTCTTCACAAGAAGAGTGTGAAGAAAGAAGCGTCGCCACCTCCCAGCCACCGGAGCACCGGCGCCCCACTCCTCTCCTCTACCTGTGAAGGAAGAAGAAACGAAGAAATGGTGAAGAGAAATGGAAAGAGAATAGAAGAGGAGGATGAAGAAAAAAGATAAATCTGATGGATGGTTCCCATGTATAGATGAAAGAGAAGCTGAAAAACTTAACGGCGATGACATGGTTTTAATTTTATAAAATATAAGTGGCATAATTATAAATAATCAAATTGTAATAATATTTATCTGAATACCATTAAATTAACCCAAAAACAAAAGACCGAACATACTACGATCAATTCGGTCATCATGCCTGGCTAACCGAAGAGACCGACAAACCGAACAAACAAAATGGCCCAATACCCCATCAACCCAATTGAAGCAAGCAAGCAGCCCAATGGGCCAATCTCAACTACACCAATCAAAGTAGTCCAGATCCAAACCCTAGGGCCTAGGCAGTTCTCTGCAGGGCGTCCAGATCCAACTCCCCAGCGCCATGCCTCAGTTGGCTGTGTCTTCCGCCGAGCGTGTGCTACTGCTACCGCGCCACCCCCGACGCGCCCTTGTTCCGCCATGGAGCCGCTGTCCACCGCGCCACACCGTCGCCCGTCGCCGGCCGTCGCGGCTATGTTTTGCCGCGAAGCTACCTAGCTTCCACCGCGCTGCTGTGCCGCATGGAATCATCCTACGCAGCAGAGGGGGAGGTCTTCACTCTTCAGCGGTAAGAAGATGTGAGGCTGTACATGTTCGGTCAACTCGATTTAGACCGAGGACCGAACCGAACTATCGGTTAACCGATCTGTCGGTCAGTACTCTTCTATAGGTGAGTTCGGTTTCCTTTTCTCAAAGACCGATCTTTTTAAAGACCGAATTAACCGGACCGACCTTTCGGTCTACACCGAATACGCACCACTAGCTGTTCCATTCCCTCTATTTTGGGCCATCGGTCCGCCAAGCGATCGAACTGGCGGTTCGGCAATGGCTATACTATTTTTCTTTTTTTTTTTTTTTGAAAAATTCACTTTTACTCTCTTCACTGTTGGCTGTATCTTATTTATGCCCCTTAACCACAAAACTGATTATATTGACCTCTCATCTATTAAAAAAGCAGTGCAAAAAATGATTCCCACAGTTGTTTTAAGGGTGTTTTTCGCTTACGTGGCTCGTTGAGCTGATCCAACTGACTAAGTTAGCATGTGGGCCCACATGTCAGTGTCGCCTCCTCTTTCTCTTCCTCTCTTCTCTCTCTTTTTTTTTTCTCCCCTAGCTATCCTCTGACTCCGAGCACCATGCCTCTCCCATACGGTTTTTCAAAATTGATGGCCACGAAGCCCTCATCCAAGCCGACTACTCCTGAACTGACATCGTTACCAAATGATCTCATCTTTTCGCTTATGCTTATGCTTATTTGCCAAAATTTAAATTTTCAATCTTAAATTTAAATTTGTAGTTGATTTTAGAGTTTTTTCATCGAATTTTATTTTTCAGCCTTTGCTTTTATATCGCTAACAACACATACATAGTTTCTGGTTAATTGGTTACAAAGTTTATAATTTTTTTTCTACGAGGTTGTAGCCTTTTATAATCTTCTTTTGCTGCAAATACTATTCTTCCTTTATAAAATACACTACTAGGCAAATGCCTGGTAGTTTTCTCTTAAAAAAGTTTTATTTATAAATTATTTTTTATTTGTAAATATGCCATGATGTGTTTGAAAAACCCTACTGGCTGTCAGTGCCCGAGATCAAGTCGAACAATACGGCTTGAGATCGGCTACACCCCTTCCCCTGGATCAACATACAGATTTTTTTAGATAATGGGAAGGATCAACATACAGATGGAAGACACGGCGTGGTGACTAACTGACAACGGATTCAAACGGTGCTGCATATCTTCTGACAACATGGTGGATCGACATGCCCAGACAGCTACACGTCCGGAGGCAATTCAACGACTACCAGCACACAAGGAGTTCAATTTAGGAGATTAGAATGGCTTAAAATTAATCTATTGATTTTATAGATATAGCCAACATATATCTACACAGGTACACAATATTTTATATATAATTTACCGTACCTATTTTCAGATCCATACAATATTGTCAGGTGCGTAATTTATTATGTTTACCTAAAAGCATGTTTTTTTTACGATATCTGTTATGCGAACGTCTCCTATATTAGGCCTATACGGTCTAATAGTGGGGGCTCGCTATGTTTTTCTATAGAAATCATGCTTGTTTATGGTTTACATAATACATGATATTTCATCCGAATATGCTCATATATCATGATTATACTAGAAGATTTAGTTTTTTGAGTACGCATTTGGTATTCTCTGCTATATATCTTGCCTTCTAGAAAATACTTTTCAGGAACAATCGAGCATTCGAGTAGACAGTGGTCGAGTACACCCCGTCGTCGAGAACTAATGCGGAGTTGTCGAACCAAATCTACCAACAAAAACCGATGACATATCTCACATCTAACACTGGTCATGTCCGGACTATTTGTGAAAAGGGTGTTGAGGACAATCTCTTCACGAAAGTTGTCAGCTTGATCATCCGACATGATTGCGAATGGACATCCGATATATATGCTACTAGTTGGGTATGTGAGTCATGCTGGCCACATGATATGTACA